TGTATTACAATAGACAGAAAATTGACATTATAATAATATACATGTATATATTATGAGGCTTATATTGAACGCTTACAATATATGTACTTTCAAATCTTGCTCCAACAGTAAAGTGACGATGGTTTCTTTGCAATGAGCATAAATATAAAACAATTTCTTTTAAGCGGCTAGTTGTCGACGAATATATGTATACCTTTGAATTTATTAAATATCGATATTATGTTACTTGACAAAGAATCGAGAAGGCTTTCGATAATTTCATAAAATAACTACATAACTAGTTATATAACTATAATATTAATGATGTCGACATTTCAAATCCTCGCATTCTTTATACAGATTGGATAATGCTCGACTGAAATGATTCGGCCTCAAATGTCCACCTAGATATTATAGTGACTCCTTGTACGTATATCAAAGTCATGTTAATAAGTCTGTGTGTACACGCACCTGGTCGACCAGTCCCTCAACTCAGAGAGAGTGGTCCCTCGGACACACGAGCCCGACAACAGTAGCGGACTCTGAGACCAATCCGTGCACTCTGACAATTAGAAATATACATACCTAATGTAATAATAATAATAATATACTTTATTAATATAACAATAAAAATGAAATATATACAAAATAAAAGTTGATGCACAATAAGGCGGTCTTATCGCTAGGTCTAACCATCCATTCTCTAATGAACTTACGTAACTAGAGTAGGGAGATAATCGAGTACTTAAATAGGATAAATCGATTTTGTAACTAATATTAAATTAGGAAAACGATCTTGCATCAAATTTTGTCCTCAAAAATTGTACAGAAGTAAGTGTACAGTGTACTAAGTGGTGCTCTAAATGCTTCAAAAGTCTATCTTTAATTTTTATATATAGTCTAAGATCCCGATATAAGGCGACCTTCACCGAGATGTTTATTTGATGAAACATATTTTATATACAATTTAATATGTCAATAACTATATTACATATGGGTTGCCTCATAAATTTTAGTCCAGGATATGATTAATTAACAATTAAAAATAGATTTTTTTTCAAATATTTCACCGGTTTGTTTATTAGATAAATTCCACACCAATCGAAAGTACGGAGCCCATAGAATATGAAAACGTTAGGTTGCCTATTCTTTTCCAGTCACAACTCTCGGGTTGCCAGGGATAAACAGGTACATCGATAGTAGCATTTTGCACCGGTCTGATAATTTAATCAAATTTAAATGAAAATAAAGATTATTTAATTATGAACACGGTGAAATAGGGTTGCCTACGAAAAATCGGTCCTAAATTAGGGTTGTCGAATTTTAAAAAGTAAAATATTGCCGCGAGTGAATATGTACGACTGAGAGGTCCCAAGCAACTGTTCCGTGCGTTAGAAGATAATATAGTTAGATGAATATTTAAAACCACGAGGATTCATTGGGGATCATACACCTTTAAGAATAGATGATATTGTCGAAAGAATCGAAACAGAGAGTGATGAAGAAGAAGGTGCAGATGTCGCAGATCTCAGTTTCATGTCCGATGACTCAGAAGCTGAATAGTTTAAAAATATTTATGTATTTATAATTTTTTATAATAAACAGATATTCATTTTTAATTGTTTTTCATTTTTTTTCGAATAAAAAAAATTACTCTAAATTAGTATTACATATGTATTGTTATAACCTTGTTATTTACTATCTCACCAAAAACATGCCTGTTAAAAAAGGGGCCAAGTTCCAATCGGCTAATTGTTTGCCTAAAAAAGGGGTGAAATCCAATCTAATGCCAAGTTTAGATGCACTTTGAAATCGATCATAATCATCTTCATCAACAGTATGATCCACTGGTAAACATTTGCCATTCCCAAGACTCGCCACCACACCCAGTCCTCTGCCTTCCACATCCAGCCACTACCCGCCACCTTATTCACGTCAACGGTCCATCTGACCGAAATTCACTTTACCATACACCCAACTTAAAATATGGTATAGTTGTGAAAATACGTAGGTGCTTGGTTAAAAATATCTAAAATTATAATACTTCTAAATTTGAACTTGGCAGGTTTTTGTGCTGTACGTAACACTTAATTAATTGTATCATAAATTTATTATTTAGTTATATATTTATTTATATTTATATAATTTAAATATTATATAATTTAAATAATTAAATTAACCTGCCAAGTTCAAATTTAGAAGTATCATAATTTTAGATATTTTTAACCAAGCACCTACGTATTTTCACAACTATACCATATTTTAAGTTGGGTGTATGGTAAAGTGAATTTCGGCCAGATGGACCGTTGACGTGAATAACGTGGCGGGTAGTGGCTGGATGTGGAAGGCAGAGGACTGGGTGTGGTGGCGAGTCTTGGGAATGGCAAATGTTTACCAGTGGATCATGCTGTTGATGAAGATGATTATGATCGATTTCAAAGTGCATCTAAACTTGGCATTAGATTGGATTTCACCCCTTTTTTAGGCAAACAATTAGCCGATTGGAACTTGGCCCCTTTTTTAACAGGCATGTTTTTGGTGAGATCTTATTTTACAATGATTGTATTTCATAAAATGTATTTGACATTTTCCCATTATAACCACACCTTAATATCTTGTACAGCAATTTGATAATAACTTTATTTGAAAAGGGTTTCATAGCAAGTGACACGTAGATGTGGAATCATCCCATGGCAACCCTTTGAATTTACGGACTATCGCCCTTACAAGGTAAATTATAAGACAATATATATGTCGACTTAGTGAAGCATAATAACTAATGTCTTTGATCGAGTGTTAAATGAAATAGATATAATATATACGGATCGTATACTTCACTTTGATGTGATCAATCAATGACTTCTGTTTTCTGGAAATGTTTTATTACTTATTATTATATTTTAGTATATTTAAATTTAACATAAAGTTTACTAGAATGTTTAAAACGGTTCACTGAATCTCGATAGCTTTTAAAATTCAAATCACTAAAAGTAGAAAATTTCTATGAAATAAATGTTCTTTCTCAGATACCAGTCTTCTTGGTGTCACACAAAGGAGATCGAAAGTATTGCATACAATTCTGGGCCCACGATGAAAAAACACGAAAACAGTATTAATTAAAAGGTTCAGAATTAAGAGTTTCTTAATTTAAAATTCTATAGAAATTGACAATCATATAGCTGAGTTATTGGAGGTTCAGTAAAAGTGAGGTTATATTGCATTATCTTTAAGAGTTAGATGAATTCACTTAAAAGTATGTGAAAAATAATAATTTTATTTAGAAGAGAATATAAATATAACAAGGCCAGAAAGACTCAAAGACATACAAATATCGTTAACAAATATGGAATTTTAAGAGGAACAGGAGTAGTGAACTATTTGTGATAAAAGTCATAAAATAAAACAAATTATTTTAATGGAATATGTATTTTATTCCTCTTCAGTAATAATTAAAATATCGTCTAGGAACTGTGCAGGGGTTACAATGTTACTAGTTGCTATCCCACAATTCACACAGCGATCCATCGTTTCAGTAATATCCAAATTCCAATCCACAAGCCGGCGAAATAATCCAAATTAACAATTCCAAGTCAAACGTGCAGGCGATCGTCGGTGTCCAATGTGAAAGCAAGGGTCGTAAAACGTTAGGCGGGTACGGAGTCCGTAAAAAACAAAGCAGTGGTCGTTGAAAACGTAAAATGATCGGGAAAGTACTCGAAACGCATCGAAAAACACAAAACAAGTCAAACTCAGATAAAAATGCATCTGGCATAGTAATTGTTGTGTCAATGTCATGTTGCCATAGACTATATATATTATAGACTATATTTACCATATTTACCATAGACTATATTTCGATCGATTTATGGATTTATGGAATCGATAATCGAAAAGGATGTTTTAAAATAATATTTAATATTATTATTATATTAATACACGTTATTAAAAGTTATTTTTATTGAATTGTAGACATATATGGTGGTGGTTTAAATGAAGTTACTATAAGTTTAAAACTAGGAGTGAAGATTTTATTATGTTGTTAAATAATCGAATAATCATTTTTTTATTTCATTAATCGTTAATCGATTGCTATTTTATGATATTTTTTTAATACAATTACAAAAACTGATACGATTACTTTTTTATTAAAAACTACGAAGTGTAATAATTTTTTTTGGTTTAATTAATTTCAATCGAAAACAAGTCCTTTAGTTGCTTCAGTCGTTGGTTTATTGGAGATCGAAAGGAACTAGGAATTAATGTGTCACAAACTTTTATCGAATTGGCAAATCTCTCTTTGAATATTCACATTCCCATAACTACACAGTAATATAAATCGGGTACAAAATATTGTTTAGATATTATAAAACTCAGAAAGGTAAGTAAGTTTTTTTTATCTTAACATATAGATTTTATCTGGTAAATATATGACTTTTATTTAAATAATTATATTATAATAAAATTGCGTATAGGGTAAAACCGGTCCTAGAGTTTAAATCACAATAAGTCCCGAAAAACTAGCCCTTGAAGCCGGAAAAGCTACAGGGAAAAAGCTAATGTGTAATATAAGCCGGATGGTATCGTATTTATCGAATTAAAAAAAGGAAACTTTTTAAGCCATTCATAATGTTAAATAAATAAATTACGCCTGTGAGGTGACAGTAATTATTTTTAGGCACTATCGTTAAACCGTTACTTCATTAAAAATATTACCTACATTTCAGAAAAATGTGAAACTAAGAAAAAATCTTATTGAAAGATAAATAATAATTAAAGAGCATATTTTTTGTCACTCTTGTGTTACCAGGAGTCTTTTCGTTGTTGAAATTTAGAATCATAAAAAGCCAACAAAATTGTGTTTTTTTAAATTATTTTATCACGCCTTTATCGCTTGCCAAGAGAAACCTTCCTAAAAACCCAGTTTGATATTTTATCAACATACCTAGTTCTTTCGGAAATTTTTCGAATTTCGATTTGGTATGGTTTTTCCAAAATCTGGGGTCAGATTCAGGTCAAGAAATATGTTACATACATCTGTTGGATCCAATGAGTTCGATGATAATGAGCTATTACCGATTACAGAAATTAGGGTCTCGTGGTTGGATGGTATGGTTCGTGATAGGATTTATCAGCTCCAAATAAAATGTTAATCCAGAAGGGGTTATCGTGTTATTGTTCTCTCGGGTCAAAACATCTTATATTGCATCACATGAGCAGGTTACTGATAATGAATAAAAGGGGACGAAGACAAACCTTGGAGTGCAGTTGGATTAAGAAACTCGAGTGATCATGTTGTTCTGTCAAATCCAGTTTTTTCTACTCGTCGCCACTCTAGGATCAACATGTAAATAATAATTTAATTATATAATTAGTTTTCTTTCTTAAAACCGTTGCTATGATTAAATGAACTTTTATTTATCTTCATTAAAAGAGAATACTATTGCTTTTTTGGTTCTCTTACCTTCAATTTTTTTTCTTTATTTATTGACCATATGTAAAATAATTACAAATCAGACGATTATTATTAATTTAAACAACCACTGCAGTACAGTTGTTATTTTTAGTAACATCATTGATCCATCAACAGTTATGACTTTTAAACTCGATTTATCTCTCAACAGGGTCCTCGGAAGGAGTTTCCGATGTTAATGTTGATGTACACTCTCAGTCCGACAATCTGAAGGCTACTGTAGGACCGGGAAGCGTTTTGCAGCAGGAACATCTTATACAGATGATGTCCGCCAAACCAGCACCTCAGTCACCATCTGTAGTTAACTATCCTGCTCCCGAAGTTAACCCTTATGAAGGTCGACCTTTATTAAGTTTGCTTCACAGATTCGATAAATGGATATTATGTGTCCTTAGTTTCTTTGAGAGATGTTACTAGTCTAATTGTAACACAAAAATGTTTAATTACTCAATTATGTCGAAACCATATAAAAAATTGTACTGAATAATTTGTCTTTTTTTTTGACTATTCGTCGGTGCTCATTCCAGTTTCTAGAATATTTCACTAATACTGAGAAGATGTTAAATCGATTGGTCACATGTTCGAAAGTTATATCGATTTTATTCATATGCAGAACTGAAATTAAAACAGTATTTTAGGAAAAAAGAGTATACTTAATAAAAATAAGTCTAGTTTATGTATAACCATATAATTTAATTAAAAAAATTTAATGTTATGAAGAAAGTATAAAAGCCCTAATTTATAATTTAAAATCGAAAATGTGATTATTAGCTGTCACTATAGAGAATAATGATTGTCTCATCTTAATAACTACAGTTACAAAAAGTAAAAATTGCTTTTCAATAAATAGTCTATATTATGAGGAGAAAGGGATAGTTTTATACTTTAGGGTCTATTATATTTGAAACAGTAAACATTTTACTTTTAAAATACTATATATTTTACCAATTTAAGCAAACCAATAATTATAGTTCCATTCTTTGCGTTGTGTTTAAAATATACCATTTCACTTTGCTTACATAGAAATTAAGTAGTTGCATATTTTTACGTTATAAAGCGATCAATATTTAAGCACGAAAAAATAAATATCAAATTACTTACTTTGCCAATGGGGACTGTGGTCGTTTTGGTGTGGAGGATCTTCACTTCACTAATTACCAATAATGTTTATAACTTATACCGCTTACTGCACTTCGTTTTCACTTTGGAATACAGAAAAATAAACTATATCAACTTATTGCTCGTCACACAAAGGCAACCTATTCGTACTGTATCCTGAGCGTAGTGAAGTTCCTGTTCGACAACGATTTATTGGTATGAAGTTTAAGATTCCAACGTGTACTAGGTATTATTATTTTTTGTCATGATTAAAATTATTTTGTGTAATATAACTTACTGTTTACAAGACTTTATTTAATGTACGAACAGATATAAATAATGAAAAGTCAATGAATAATTTAATTAAATTACATATTTGAAGCAAATACGAGTATTGAGTATTTGGAGTCCATTCTTATTGCGTTATATCAATTTTAATACGTAAAACCTTTACTCACAACCTACCAATTCATCGGACATAATATGAATTCATTATTCAACATCAACGTATAAAACGATCGATAACAGAATCTGAGATATCTGAACAGGAAAGGATCAAGGTGACATGTGATTGGACATACAAATTGATGTTCAATTTTAGGATAAAAATCTATAAAATTATAATATGGATGCATATATATTTTTTGTGATACTTTTTATTCGTAAACTCATTTTCTTTATTTTTATATAAACTAGTAAACCCGGCGAACTCCGTTTCGCCACCAGAAGGCATTTCGTTTGGTGATTAAAAGATGAAGAATTTTTTTGTTTTATATTTGAAAAGGAAAATTTTTATTTTATTTCACAACAGTAATGAATTCGTTTTGATTACAAAAATGAAGTGCTATTTAGTTGAATTTCTCTAAATAAATGAAAGTGAATCCGAAGTAGATACCGAATCGAAGTGTTAAACGTGTCCGCAAATTATCCGTTTCATTGAAGTGGTCCTTTGTAAACCACATTTTTTGCTTTTGGTCTAACTTTAACACAAATAAAGCGGATGGTTTCCAAACTCTTGAACACGCAAAATATAACTGCCCATGTGAAAAACAATGGTTTTCTAAATTTATCCCGCAAATACTAAATGGTTTTAAGAGTTCAAACTACAAACACAATACCGGTTTGTCACATGAAATTAACCGAGCAGAGAACCATGAGTAGCTGTCAAACAATGTATCATGCACCGGCGCCGTCTACTTAAAATATTGATTTGTAGTACATGTTATGTATGATGGTGCTGTATGTGAAAAAAGATTTTCCCGCCTTTCATTTGAATTTTTTTGTTATAAACCTCACGGAGCCTGAGACCTTGCCAACGAATGCAAAACCGTGGAAATTGGTTCGTTCGTTCTGAACTTATAGCGTCGGTATGGAAAACCGGACTTATTTTTATATAGTACGAGTAGTTCTCATACAAATATCTAATTGTCATTTTACGTCATTACATATCTGTCATTATACGTCAATTGCATAGCTGTCAATTGTATTTCGTTATTCCACGTTTTATAGTGGCTGACGTTTCATGTCAAGTCCCACGTTAATGCTGTCGAACGGGATAAAAAGTATCCTATTGCAATTTTCTGGAGCTAAACTACCTCCGTGCCAATTTTCAGCTAAATTGGTTCAGCCGTTCTTGAGTTATAAGTGGAGTAACTAACACGACTTTCTTTTATATATACATAGATTTAGAATTGTCATCTGAATATTTCATGTTTATATCAGTCCACTTAATAAGCAGATAATAAATAATATCATAAAATCTACGGAAATAAATATTATGTACATTCAAGCCTCTTATGTTTTCTGGAATTTCTGCTTATATTTATTTCAGTATCTAGACGGTTTAACTTCCGATGAAAAATAACACAAATTAATAAAACAAAAAGGTTTAAACCATAAGTTATTTGAAGGATAATCTTCGTGATAGCACTAACTACAAGTCGAAACGAAAGACATTTACACAAAACCAAAGATATTATAATATAAAGAAAATAAGGTCAAAAACATACTATTATTGGGGCAAATATGGAGATAAAAGAAATAAGTTGTATTAAGTTGTAATACATCTATAATGTCTTTTATGTTTGGCTAGGTTTTCTGAAATCTTGATGTGGCATTAATTTCAAAATATACATGATATTATATCAAATAACTGATGGAATTATAACATACTAATTACTTATCCTATTTATAAAACGCAATTGAAAAATGATAGAACATGAAAAACAAAGTACTAATTATTTTAGTTCATTATACCCGAACCCAATAAAAAGAAAAATGATTTTAAATTTAAAACTGGTTTCTAAGAACATGTGGATGATTGATAATTACGTAAATGCAATATATTAATGTGATACTTGGGATTATAATTGGTAATTATTTGTTCTGGTGCTTGTGGATATAATTTTTAAGTTGTTTTTAGGATACAGGTCTCTCCGTGATTAAGAATTGATTTTTTTGTTTTTTTTTTTGTGAATAATTCCTAACGAATTTGTTTAATATACATTACTCTTCTTCTACTTCGAACTTTAAGTCAAAGATCATAGATTCCCAAACAAATTTTCGTAGTGATAAAATAAATGTCTAACAAATCGTTTCCGAACCCTTTCCATGTGCAGGAAAAATACTTTATGAACTTCGAATCACAGTTACAGCAAGCGGCTATTGGCTATAACACCATCATAAACCGTAACATATTTATTAAAGGTTTGCTTATCCGAGAACGATTTCATAGCGTTTTAAATACATAATTATAGGTTTCCATTCAAAGTAGATAAAACACATCTTAAAATGGAACATGTTTGCCCAAACTAAAGCACTAAGCACATTTAAGTTCTTGTGTTTATTATATTCTTACTTTTGAATTTATGATACCTATTAATAAATAATTAATTAATACATAGATTGTTTAAATACATATTTAATTGTGAAGTAATTTTCTTTTATACAAGTTGCTAAGAATCATATCCATAACGTCGAGATCGACTTAAACATTGTTATAATTGACTGACAGTTAAAAAAGGCAGTATGTCATTTATAATAATTTTGAAAACATTTATCCCTGATAACAAAAAGGGACAAAGCTTTATGTGATGTTTGTAATCTAGGCCGTGGTAATATTTTTCATATGCGACATATTTGTTATTCGCTTTTTCACAGATATAAGAGTATTGCCGAAGAATAACATGCAATATAAAATGTACGTAATAAATAAATAATATAAAATGTTTTTATTCATTATGTTGTGTGATATACACTTTACAAACTGATGGTTAAATGGAAATGCTTTTTAAATTGGATTATTTTAGACTATCACATATTTCTTAAATAAAGTACATAAATTTACCATAAAAAAACTTCATATAACTGGACGGTCAGTACCAAGCATTTGTGTTCATATAATAGGACAGTAAGTAACCCGGCTCCGGTGAAAGCCCGGCGTCGGAAGATTCATAATTGCCGGGATCGGCCCCATACTCTGAGGGAGTAAGTCCGGTCGTTGCCAGGACCGGCCACTTGCTGGTGTGTCCTGTCGCTGACAGATCCGGGGTACACTGACGTAGCGGCCGATGGCTTTCGCAGTGGTTTTAGTAAGTAGGGACCTGCCCAGGTCGAGTCTCACACATCCCTTCCTGCCCCATCAAGGCCGGTTGGACGGCTCGTACAAAGAGTTTCTCTGCGTCAACAAAAAATAAAAAAAAGGTGAACAGATGTAAAATATATAAAATATAAAAGATATTCTATTACTTTATTGTATTGTGGTTCTAAAAACTAATGCTTTTTTGTTATCTTTTAGGTTATGTCTAGAATTATAAGTTCAACTTGTTTTTATTTAATATCTTATTATCTTATATCTTATTAATATTATTTAATCAGCTGTTAAGAATTACAAGATGTGGTATTTAAAAATTTAATCTGGAATAGATATGGAGTAAAAAAGACATTTTGAATTAAAAAAAGCCTCAGAATTAATTTGTCTTAGAAGTTTTATTATGCGAAATTTAATTTTTCACCATCCTTTTTTTTTTGTTTTCCCAGGGGAAATCTGTTCACAGATACCCGGCCGAGCGGGGACTTGACCGGGTTATGTGGGGTTTCGACCCACTAAAACCCCTGGGTGTTCCTCAACCACGCCACCTAGGCAGGGCCACGGTATATCACGAGCTTGCCTCGCGACCCTGCCGGCGCTTGTCCACTCTTGACCTCGAACTAGGGGGGACAAATCCCCCCGCAGACCACCACCGCGAGCCGCCCCCGGAACAAGAGGGGCTAGCACCGCACTGATCCTGCCAGCGGGCGACAGAAGTCCCCGTCTGCCACCCAGGATCACGTCGCCCGGCGCTTAACCTATGGCTGTAAAGAGGCCAGATAGGCTCGGCGCCGGCGACCAATTCGCCGACGACGGAGGGCAGGGGCCTCCGGGTTGCTCTCCCTGGCCCGCTCCGCTGCCTCCTTCGCGCTGATGACCGCTTCGGCGAAAGCGGCCACCGCCTCCCATGCCTCCTCGCTGCCGACCATAGCCGAGATTATAGCCGGCAACGAGAGGTCCCTCCCTATGACCGTGGTCAAAGCAGCACGAAGGCTGCCCCACGCTGGGCATGACTCGCGCGTGTGCTGTGCCGAGTCCTCCAAGCCACCCCCGCAGTGATGGCAGGCGGGAATTTTTCACCATCCTTAGCGTAAACATCCGATTTAATATTAATTTGATTATTGCTTCTGGACCGTTGATATAAGTTATATAAATTTTTCTCATTTTTTTCCAGTTTTGTCGACGGAACCTAACAAGAAAGACTATTGCGTAATGTATACATTATTCTAGAAGTTAAAATTATTTAATTATTTTTAATTAAAATTATGAAGCGTAATATATTATAAAAACAAACAAATTTATTTCAAATCATGAATTAGTTGTGATAACGATAAAGATTACTATTATTATTATTATTATTTGATCATATGTACTTTCTAAGAATATTTAGACATCACTGATTTATGTTGATTCCCAAAAGAGGGTCGATGTCAGGCAGGCGGCCGGTCGTAAAAACAAATAGCCAAAAAACTAATCACAACATGTAAGGCAGACCCTGGCTGTAGCTGGGAAATTGCCAGGTAGAAGAAGAAGAAACGATTAAGATTAAATATTAATTAAGATAATAAACAATTTCTGAAAGCTAAAACTCAGATACTTGACGATTTCCAAGCAATCCAATCTATGTTTATTACTTCAGAAGAGTTGATCAAGTATTTGTTGCTTGAAATTAATTGAACCAAAATAAGATTATATTACACTTCGTTGTTTTTAATAAAAAAGTAATCGTATCAGGTTTATTCATTGTAATAAAAAAATGCTACCGTAATTTTGAAAACATGCGTTCTACTCTTTGAGAATTTCAAAAGTTTATCAAAACAAACTGAGAAATAATATCAGCTTATTATTTTAATAACATATGTTTCACTTTCCATTTATTTAATTTCAACCACTTCATAAGTCACACGTTAGAGCATAGGGGTTGTTATCACACGAATGTGACATTGTATCAAGCGACAGAGAGATGAACATTCAATGCTTTGTAACGTCACATACCTGACTTTAAAATACTTAATGTAACAATGATTTATGTGAATAAAAAGATTAGATATTTGCGAGCTCTATTGATATTTAAAATTATTTTAGAGTTACAGTTATTGTTCATCTTACTTCTGAAGCGACGTTAAAAGTGAGATACTAACATTTTTAAACATTTTTGAAAGTATGAATCTGAGTACGATTAAATCATTAGTACCTGCTGGCTCTTTTTTCACTAGATGTTCGTTTGTTATTTGTGAGACCTTCGACTAGTGTAATCGTAAGCGTTGGTACAAAATAAAAAAAAATGTGACGTCATATTATTAAAACGGCATATGCTGTGCTTCGTCATTTGTAAATTGACCTTAATACCCTAGCAAATAGCAATTTTCAAAAACTGACTATTTTATTAGAGTATATTGTACGTATTATTTATTTCGTTTAATAAATTATGTTTAAATAAATAATAAACGACATACATTTTTCTCAAATATAGTCCTTAATTATAGAGATCGATAGGAACTAGGAATCAATGTGTCACAAACTTTTTTCCAATTGGCAAATCTCTCTTTGAATATCCACATAATATTCACATTCCCATAAATTCACAGTACTATATGTACATATATCGGGTACAATATATTGTTTAGATATTATAAAACTCAGAAAGATAAGTTAGTATATTTTTTATCTTAACATATAGATTTTATGAGGTAAATATATGACTTTTATTTAAATAATTATACTATAATACAATTGCGCAAAGAGTAAAACCGGTCCCAGAGTTTAAATCACAATAAGTCCCGAAACGTAGGTCCTTGAAGCCGTAAAAGCTACAAGGAAAAAGCTAGTGTGTAATATAAGCGTGATAGTTTGATATTTATTAAATTGAAATAAGGAAAGGTTTTAAGCCATTCTTATTGTTAAATAAATAAAAACCGCCAGTGAGGCGACACAAGTTATTTTTTGGCACTAGAGTTAAAACGTTACTTGATAAAAAATATTACCTAAATTTCAGGAGTACGTGAAACTAAACAAAACTAATTGAAATCTAAATAATAGATAAAGGGCATATTTTTTGTCACTCTTGTGTTTCCAGGAGCCTTTTCGTTGTTGAAATTTAGAATCATAAAACGCCAAAAAAAATTGTGTTTTTTAAAATTATTTTATCACGCCTTTATCGCTTACCACGAAAAACATTCATAAAAACCCAGTTTGATATTTTATCAACATACCTACTTCTTTCGGAAATTTTGCGAATTTGGTTTTGGTATGGTTTTTCCAAGAACTGGGGTCATATTCGGGTCAAGACATGTGAGCTGCTACCGTTCACAAAAATTAGGGTCTCGTAGGAAATGGTTCGTGATAGGATTTATCAGCTCCAAATAAAATGTTAATCCAGAAGGGGTTATCATGTAATTGTTCTCTCGAGTCAAAACATCTTTTACTGCATCAGATGAGCAGCTTACTGATAATGAATAAAAGGGGACGAAGACAACCTTGGAGTACAGTTGGATTACGAAACTCGAGTGATCATGTTCTTTTGCAAAATCCTGTTTGTTCTACTCGTCGCCACTCTAGGAACATCATGTAAATAATAATTTAATTATATAATTACTTTCCTTCCTAAAAACCGTTGCTATGATTAAATGAACTTTGTTTTATATTCAGTAGAAGAGAATACTATTGCTTTTTTAGTTACCTTGAATTGTTTTTTCTTTATTTATTGACCATATGAAAAATAATTACAAATCAAACGATTATTGTTTATTTAAATAACCACTGCAGTACAGTTGTTATTTTTAGTAGCTTTAGGTGGTAGAGCCTAGCTCTGGTAAGTTACTACAGCTCGAACTTGGGCTGGCTCGACCGGGGAAGTACCACCCTCTCACAGAAGGTGTGAAGTAGCCTTTAGTGGCTGCGTTTCGTCCGATGAGTGAGAGAGCCGGTTGCCTTTTTCCTATTTCCCACCCTTTCCTACCATTTCCATATTCCCACCCCTTCCTATTCCTGAAAAAACAAGGTTAGCAACGCATTCGCAACAAACATGTTGCGGATGTACATACGGGCGGCGGTACTACCTTACACCAAGTAGGCCGTCTGCTCGTTTGCCACCTTTGACATAAAAAAAAAATAGTAACATCATTAATCCATCAATCCTTATGACTTTTAAATTCTATTTATCTCTCAACAGGGTTCTCGGAAGAGGTTTTCACTGTGGTTGATGCATACCCTCAGAAATATGCATACCCTAAACAATATTTTGAACAATACGGAACCAGCAATCAGCAAGCTGTAGCTGTAGCACCGGGAAGCGTTTTGCTGCAGCAACAACTTAGACAGATGGCGTCCGCCATACCAGCACCTCAGTCACCATCTGTAGTTTTCTATCCTACTACTGAAGTTAACCCTTATGAAGGTCGACCTTTCTTAACTTGGCTTAACAGAATCTTTAAATGGAAATTATGTTTCCTTAGTTTCTTCACGAGATGTTACTAGTCTAATTGTAACACAAAAATGTTTAATTACTCAATTATGTTGAAAGCATATAAAAAATTGTAGTGAATAATTTGTTTTTTTTTTTACTATTCGTCGGTGCTCATTCCGGTTTCTAGAATATTTCACTAATACTGAGAATATTTTAAATCGATTGGTCACATGTTCGATAGTTATATCGATTTAATTCATATGCAGAACTCAAATTAAAACAGTATTTTAGGAAAAAAAGAGTATTTTTAATAAAAATAAATATAGTTTATGTATTATCATATATTTTATTTAATCAATTTAGCATACATATCAAAGATGCATATGTATTTATCAGTATCGTGTAAAATTTTAATTTAAAATTTCTAATAGTAAAAGTTGAAGTTTGAGTTTTTGACAGACTATGAACAAGAAAACGCATTTTTTTGTCAAATTTTCGCCATTTATTTGCTCGGAAAAATGTATGGTATTAAAAGAAAAACAAAATCTATCGTCTTATTACGAGATTTATCTATGTTATAACGAAATATGATTAGTTTTCGATTTTAAATGAACCACTCATGAATTTCTTGTTAAGTTCCTTCTTCTTGAAGTTGTAGGGGGTCGAAAATTGCTTCGAGAAAAGAATGGTACGGCCGTGACGCTTTTTTGCTCAACTTGGTGGGGGCACTGCCGTGCCACCTCGAATTTTATTTCTAGTTTTTGGAAGTAAATAAAAGTCACAGGGCCTTAGATCAAAACTGTATGGTGGATGACTCATTCATTATCTTGAGACCTGCCATAGTCAAATATTCAATAATACGTTTTGCATAGTGTGCTGTAACATTGTCGTGTTGAAAGAGGATCCCACTTCGAAAGAGCTACAATCGAAATTTTTGATAACAAACAGCGATTGACATACCAGTCTGCAGTAACTGTCTTTCTATCTCCTATCATAACTGTCTCGTAGTGACCTTTCCAACTAATGAATGAGGCAATCATATTTCTTACTTGACTTATTCCTTTCGTTACCTTAGTTGGCTGATTCTTGAAAGAAAACACCCACAGAGTTGATTGTCTTTTAGTTTTGGGTTAGTAGGAATATTTTCGGCTTTCATCCCTTGTGACGATGTCAAGTAGAGCATTTGAGTCTCCGCCGTTGAATTTATCTCACATTTGGCGACACCAGTCCATGAGAAGGTGTTTCAGGTCGTCGATTAGAGGATGGTGCATCTGGTGCAAAGGTTCCTGACGGCTAAATGTTTGAGTAATATTTTTTGAACTTGATTCATGCCAATGCCTATGTTATCTGCTCGTAAATCACTGTCTTATCTTCCTCTATCATGCATCGCATTCGCACAGCATCAGTGTTCTCTTCAGTAGTCAATGTTAAAGGACGTCCCCCACGCAGATCATCATTTAGATTGCTACTTCCACGCTTAAATTAGTTAAACCAATTGTATGCAGCGGTAAGAAATGAATCTTCATTAAGAAATGCTAATAGCATCCGATCACACTTTTGTTATTGAATAAGCCCCAACGAAAGTCTTAATTTCACATGTAACAAAAATTTACTAGCCGCCAATTTACAAAAACAAATGATAAATCAATGAAATATACCACATTAGATTACCAGAGAGGTTTACAATTTAATATCAAAAACTTTTTAATTTAAATGTTTGCAACTCGCAAATTCTGTTTTTATTTTCTTATTTTGTGAAAACATTTATAATAAAACAGAAAGGTTCTGAATACGTTCCTCCTCAGACCTAAGTCTTTTGATATAGAATCATTTTTCATAATAATAATAATAAAATATTTATTGGTCAAAGTCGCACTACAACACAATAACGATCTTATTCACAAATAAATACATAAAAAAATACAAAAAATAAAATTACACAAGACAAAAATATTATTATAATAAGAAAAAAGAAAAAAAAGAAATGTGCAGCAGTGCAACAATACCAAATGGAGATTCGCTCAGTTGAAGAAGAAGCATCAATGATGCTTCTAAAGTGATTTTCAGCGGTCTCCATAAGGTATGCGCTGACAGCTGTGACAAAAGAATAATAAAAAAAAATACAAAGTAAATCTAAACAAAAAAAAAACAAGCAAAAATCTTCTTACAATAAAATAACGAAAGTAAAATAATAATAATGACAATAACAATAAACAGACTTAGCGGAATACTGAGTGAGTGATATATCTATGTACATGAGATGGGAAGCAAACGGCAAACGACAATATTAATATTAGAATATATATATATAATATTAGATATATATATATCAATAACAATGAACACTTAATGTTCCATCTCAGTCGCAGTGTCACCTCTAGCGTTGAGCTGTCGTGCATACTGCTCGTTCGCAGTAAATGATTCTAATCACCGCCGTCTTAAACTAAGCTGGGGCCCTTGGGCATATCAGAATTAGAGGCCCTTTTGGAAAGTAAACAACGCTAATTATACTAACATTTTAAAAATAAGTTTAATCATTTATTATAGAAAATCATATACAGTATGATGTTATAAATACGTCATTAATGATATACGAATGCTGCTGTTTTTAGGTTCTGATTACGATAATGGTTTCTTTCGGGATTTCTGTTGAGCAAAATCTTCTATTATATCATTAAAGTCAATGTTTTGAAGGATATCACTTTCAATGCACATAATTGACAAATTACTTAGTCGTTCTTGTAACATTGTTGTTCGCAATTCATTTTTTATTCTCTTAAGCTGCGAAAATGACCGCTCTCCACTGCCATTAGAAACCATCAAGCAAAGGAATATTCTTCTAGCAATTTCTACGTTTGGAAAAGTTTTTTCCAATCTGCTTTTATTAAGTTATGTAAGGTTGAGATATTTAAATCCGCCGATCGCTTTGCTATGTTTTTTAAATATTGACTTAAATGAAAACCTTCTGTTTTAAACTCATCTGCATTTATGTCTTCATGATAAAATTTTGCAAATTCTTTGCATTTTTTGGTCAACTCATCAGATTCTATTATTGTTAACTGACAAAGAAAACCAAATCGACTATCAATTTCTTGGTATGCTGCAGAACGTTTTTTTTAAATGAGTAATTAATGTGTCAATTATGGGAATGAAAGTATCTACACGAAACTTTTCTTTGCCTCTCAACTGTGCCGTCTCTGATGATCCTTCAAAAAAAGTGATGCGTGTGCTGCGAAATCTTTTTCTTTCAAATGTGTCTTTGTAGTCAGCATATGGATTTTTTTCTTTAACAGCCGTTTCGTACTGATCAAAATTATCGCGTGCGGTATTGGCATAACTGATCAGAGACTCGTAAAGTTTCGTTACAACGTCATAGTGCTGTTCTGTAAACTTAGACTTGTTTTATTCATAACTAGCTTTTGCCGCGACTCCGTCCGCGTGGAATAGTTCTTGCGGGGTTTTCGGAAATGGTCGAGTTCTCGTAGAGTTTTCAGGATAAAACCTATGTTTTTTTTATTCACAATGAAGTACTCTTAACCAACAACATATTTATTTGTTTATTTGAATAAAGATTAATATTATTATGTTGATACACCTTAAACAAATTATTTCGATCAAATTAGGTACCATAAAAACGGTTTTTGTGAGTTAATCTTAAAAGATAGACACATACTGTCGCGGACTGTTTTTAGATCATTAAAAGAGCTATTATTCTTTAATACATATTTTTTGTGTATCTTGAACCGTTTTCACGGCGCACGCAACGGAAGGCTTCAAAGATGAAATAATTTCTCCTGTTTTTTACACATTTACCAATATATCTTTGCTCCTATTGGTCGTAGCGTGATGTTATATGGCCTACAGCCTTCCTCGATAACTGGACTATCCAACACAAAAAGAATTATTCAATTCGAACCAGTAGTTTCGGAGATTAGCGCTTTCAAACAAACAAACAAACAAACAAAAAAACAAACAAAAAAACAAACAAACTCTTCAGCTTCATAATATTAGTATAGATTTGTACAGTAGGAATAGCCGCAGTCATCGATATAATAGCGTAGTATATGCCCACAGTATCTGTGTATATGCCACGTAAATACCCTCTTATAAGGTTACTAATTTGCGAAAAAAAGTAATGTGTCCGACAAAAATGTTTTGAGAATAAATGTGTGAGAGAATTTTTTTTTTTTTTATGTGACAGGTGGCAAACGAGCAGACGGACCACTCGATGGAAGGTGGTTACCGTCGTCCATGGACATCCACAACATCTTGTTGCGGATGCATTGCCAACCTTGTTTTTTAGGGATAGGGAGGGGTGGGAATAAGGAAATAGTAGGAAAGGGTAGGAATAGGGAAAGGGCAACCGGCTCTCTCACACATCGAACGAAACGCAGCCATTTAAGGCTACTTCACGCCGATCTTCCGTGAGAGGGTGGTACTTCCCCGGTCGAGCCAGCCCATGTTCGAGCTGCAATCACTTGACCACTTGGCTCTACCACCTTTAAAATTGTAGGTCCTTCGGGGCCCCCCTGAGAATAGAGGCCCTGGGCACGGGCCCCGTGTGCCCTTATGGTAAAGACGGTATTGATTCTAATTAATTATTATCATTTAATATAGGCAAAAACTTGTAATAAAAAAAGCAACAATGACAAATAGTAGAAAAAAAAACAGACATCGCAATGGTAAGTCAATATTATTTGAATTACATATGATAAGATCATACTAAGACTTTTCAGTTGTATTATATTTCTCATTTCTTTTCATTTACTTGTATTCTAGGTTCTCTAGAATAAATGATCAAGAACAGTATGATACGAAGAATATTAACGTTAGACAGAAAGTCGATGCCAAGAAAGTTAAAACTTTTGGAAATATAATATTTAATACATATCCATACAAAAATAATAATTATAAACGTGAGTCGGAGATTGTGTTTAAAACTACAATAACAACCGGTCACCAAAAGCGGGCGTGACTCATTTCAAGTGCTATCGGGCCGCAAACAAGCAGGTATCTACGCTAACTATTAATCGTATTCTTAAAGTAATACAAACATACTTCGTGTATTATA